TACTATAATAGCTTTATTTAGATTCCAAGGATGTGAGTAAAATTAACATTGCTTCCCTTTTCTTATGTATTTTATTTTCATTCCTTCTTTGCCTACTTACATGGTTACACAGAAGCCTTACATATTACAGGAGTAACTGTTTCCACAACGAGGTGTTCCTGTACTGCGTGGACTACATGTTTCGGCCTCGCCAGAGGAACCAGTACCGGGCCGCCCTCCAGAGGCTCGGCAAGTAGGCGGTTCGTCTTCGATCAACCCTTCCTGCAGGGATGCTCGCCGTGAGGCTTTCTCTAGATTCTTCTCCGGTTGCTTCTGTATTCAAAGTTAGAAGCCGATAACATACTGACGCCAAGGTGTTTCATGTCCAATGTCTTCATAAAGCAGAAAATATAAAAGATTTGTTTAAATTTCCAAATCCTTTTGATACACACTATACCTGAATGTACGGTACTGCAGTGAGCCAAATACTGAATAATACACATAAGTTTTTCATGTAAAACTAGAGATTGTAATAAGACCAGATAAAGATGATTAGTCACCCTACTACTATTGTCTCAGCTGATCAAGATTCAACCTTTAAATGTAAATAATAGTAAGATGAATTAATACGATGAAATGATCTTTAAACGAAACCACCGATGAAGCCACAAGCAATTATGACTTTCTGTTTCCTGCCCTTTATTTTGGTACGGTTTTCAGTTACGTAAGATGAACACACCTATCAAGTCGATCAAGCTACATCTGTGATAAAAAAATCTGTTTCTATTCTATACCCCATGACTCTAGCCAGTACTACTGCCGACGTACAAAAGAGCTTGGAATTAATTCTTTTGATCGGTTCGCCTTATACATTTCAGAATTATGTTACAAGTTTTATTAAAAGAACTCTTAACATCAGTTGCCTTTGCTACCACCAATGAAAGCTTCACTGAGCCATGGTCTTATATAGACCTTGCATTGAGCAGCCTTATTTACGTCAGGTCACAATCTTCGTACAGGAATAGTTTCCAATTAGCACAGGTACTTCCGGTTTTCAAGGTTTATGGGCTTCACTCTCGGTTTACGCGTCGCATCGGGCAGGGGCGTCACTTCATGTTATGAGTTGGGGGGGTGACGGGTAAATTTGTCCTGAAAAAATAATTTTTGCCCTGCAAATCACGAAAAAGAAAATGCTCACAAGTAGCCCGGAATGGACCATCAAGCAGTATTTACAAATGATAAATGAACAAAACAACAAAAATAATGATAATGTTTATTTTATAGCTAATTAAAGTTTTATTTTGCATTTTTTTGTTGAAAATAGATAGGTATTAGCTTTTTTTAAATGAAATACATTAAGTTAATGTTTTTCGATGTGAAATACTTGATTTTGAAGTGGAATAGGCGATGCGCAAGCCTTGCAAAGTAACCGAGAATGAAACGAAGTCTTAGTGAATTTCAAGAAGACGCCTGATTTTTTGAAAGGCGTTATCCTCACCTGCTTGGCCTAAACTCAGTGAAGCAATGATTTTTTTTGACTGCGTGCTTCATTGAAACTCAATTGAAAAAAATCAAGAATTAGACACTTTGCGTCAGAAAATGTTATAAATCAAGTATCATCAACAATTAGTTTCATATAGTTATTTAAATATCTTGAATACTTATCGGCTATTGAGGCAGATTCCGTAAGAGAAAATTTGCCCTGCAGAACTAAATCTTGCCTTGCAAAAAGAGGCTTTTTTAAGACTGGGGGGGGGGGGGGTGAACCACCCTCCCATACCCCCACTTAAGTGACGCCCCTGGCATCGGGCCGAACTGAGCCTTCCCCTTCGCGTGACAAATCGTGCTGCACCTCACCCGGGCATTCCTGAAAAATGCCCAAAAGTTACGCTTGTAGGCACGCTCTTATTGAATGGCCCTCTTCCAGGCACGAAAATCTAAAAGATCCTCATTTGAAAACGGGCGAGACGGAGTATTCGGCCTTAGGCGCGCGAGAAGTACATGGCTGTTTGGCAAAAAGGCTAAACCATGGAATACCAAAATAACCTTCTTCTAGAACTATCACAAGTAGTTTGGAGTCTCTGATCCATGCCATCCCCTTGTGAGATCGTTAAATACTGTTTCACCTGTAGTGTCTTGGTTAATGATTTAAAGTCAAATGGTGGCCCGGAAAGTCAGCTCACTAAAATTGCGAATGCTTCCCATAGAAGAAAAGAAAGATATATCAGATGTACATTTTACCCCATATATATATGTATGTATATATATATATATATATATATATATATATATATATATATATATATATATATATATATATATATATATATATATATATATATATATATATATATATATACATATTGTGTGTGTTTTTGGGTGCGTGTGTACGTATGTGAGAGAAACAGAGAGAGAGCGTCTATGCGTGTGCGTGAAAAGAAAAAGTCACATGCGAAGGAAATCCAGAACCGTGAAATCTCTTGTAACAAAAACTCTTATTAGATTTGGGGGCACATTATGGAGGCTGCAAAATACTTCGATGCCAAAAAAGTTTCACCTTTTAACTCAGAATACAAAACAAATTAAAGAGGAGTCTGGTCGTTTGGGGAGTCGCATGGCGAGCGTCCCCGCGGGTCTGGCCGAAGAGGAACCGCCTACTTGCCGAACCTCTGGAGGGTGGCCCGGTACTGGTTTCTCTGGCGAGGCCGGAACATGTAGTCCACGCAGCACAGAAACAGTTACTCCTGCAGGGAGGAGCAATGCTGTGTAGCTCTACTATGTAAAACAGGAGAAATTTCAAAAAATAAAGAATGGGGGAATAAAGTACATTTTATATTTTATTTAGTTCCTTTATGGTTATTAAGATTCTATAGGGAAATGCAATTTTGGCGAAAATTCCATGCTTTGAGTCAAGATAAAACCACTCTTCGGTTTTCTTGGGTATACCAAGAAACACACACACGCATCACACATATATACATATACATATACAAGTATTTATACACACGCACACATACATATATATGTATATATATGTATATATATGTATATATATATATATATATATATATATATATATATATATATATATATATATATATATATATATATATATATATATATATATATATATATGCATGTGTGTGTGTAAGTATACATACACACACACACACACATATACATACATATATATATATATATATATATATATATATATATATATATATATATATATATATATATATATATATATATGTGTGTTTGTATATGCACGCCCGCGTGGTTAGAGCACTGGACTCCGACTCTCGTGGTCCCGGGTTCAATTCCCCGTCGCGGCGGTCGTAAAAATGCTTGCGTTCTGACTGCTACCTCGAGCCCGAGAAAACGACATATCGACTTGAGAAATCAAGCGCAGGTGTCGTAGGGGAAGTCACCGCCGTGGCACAAGTGTTAACGCGCCGAACCGCGGTTGATTAGGAAGGGCATTCAATCAGGCAAGGGTGACACTGCCATATAACCTCTGAATACTGAATTGAGAGAGGCCTATGTCCTGCAGTGGAATGAATGGCTGTTGAAAAAAAAGTATATATAAATGTATATATATATACATATATATATATATATATATATATATATATATATATATATATATATATATATATATATATATATATATATTTATATATATATGTATGTATATATATATGTGTGTGTGTGTGTGTGTGTGTGTGTGTGTGTGTGTGTGTGTGTGTGTGTGTGTGTGTGTGTGTGTGTGTGTGTGTGTGTGTGTGGTCGTGTGTGTGTATGCATGTATATATATACATTTATATATATATATATATATATATATATATATATATATATATATATATATATATATTTATATATATATATGTATATTTATATATATATATATATATATATATATATATATATATATATATGTATGTATATAAACATATATATAAACACACACACACACACACACATATATATATATATATATGTGTGTGTGTGTGTGTGTGTGTGTGTGTGTGTGTGTGTGTGTGTGTGTGTGTGTGTACGTATATATGTATGTACACACATATTCGTATATATGAACGTATATACGTTTGTATGTAAATAGATATTTATAAATAAATAAATAAATATATATATATATATATATATATATATATATATATATATATATACATATATATATATATATATATATATATATATATATATATATATATATATATATATATCTGTGTGTATGTGTGTGTGTGTGTGCATACATACATATATATATATATATACACATTAATATTGAATAAATATTTATAAATATATTTGTATACTTATATATAATTTGTTTGCCTCTTTCGTGTGACCTCGGTAGCAAGCAGTGGCAACAGGCTTCGGATTTAATAATAAAAAATCCCGATATGCTTCTTTCCTTGATTTCTTATCGGTTTTATTAACACATTACACATACCGAGAACGCCCTTTAACCCAGGATACAAGAGCAACTGAAGAAGAGTCTGGAGGTTAGTCTGGCGGCGGACGTTAGTGGTGGGGAGGGGAGAGGAGGAGGTGGTTTAGGCGAGTAAGCTCCATGGATTTTTTATTTAATTATTTTTTATTCATGCTTTGGGAATTTCCGGAAAATGTATGTTCTTAATGAAGGTTCAGAAACCCAGTGCACCGCTTGGAAGTACTGAGGGTGGGATCGTCCTGTCGCCCCCCCCTCCTCCTACCCAGGACTGTCCGTTTCTGGCTCGGTCGTCTAGAGAATCGTATCGCGAGCGTCGCCGCAGAAGGTCTGGCCGAAGAGGAACACGTCTACTTGCCGAGCCTCTGCAGGGCGGCCCGATACTGGTTCCTTTGGCGACGTCGGTACATGTAGTCCACGCAGTAGAGGAACACCTCGTTGTGGAAACAGTTGCTCCTACCAAGGAAATGATATTCATGTACTTCTGTTCACAAACTAAGTATTTCTTGATACAATCGTTAACATAAAAATAGGCTGTTGCCTA